AGCGGTAGTAGCGGTAGTAGCGGTAGTAGCGGTAGTAGCGGTAGTAGTAGTAGTAGTACTAGTAGTAGTCGTAGTAGTAGTAGTAGTAGTAGTAGCAGCAGCAGCAGGAGTAGTAGTAGTAGTCGTCGTCGTCGTAGTAGTGGTAGTAGTCGTAGTCGTCGTGGTTGTAGTAGTTGTAGTAGTAGTAGTAGTAGTAATAGTAGTAGTAGTAGTAGTGGTAGTAGTAGTAATAGTAGTAGTAGTCTCAGTAGTAGTACTAGTTGTACTCGCAATAGTAGTACTCGGCGTGGCAATCGTCGTACTACAAGTAGTGGTAGTAGTGGTAGTAGTAGTAGTAGTGGTGGTGGTGGTGGTAGTAGTAGTCGTAGTACTAGCAGTAGAAGCAGTAGCAGCAGCAGCAGTAGCAGCAACAGCCATCGGCTTCATGCCCAAGGCACAGAGGCATCCGGCAACGTCGAATACGACAAGTGGAACACAGCCCGAGTCTTGGACCAAGCCCACTCTATGCACAAAAACCGTGCCCGTGTCTTTCTACATTGCTTTGGTTGGGGAACAGGCAGGAAATTGATTCATGGCGGTGAGGCAGCCGGGTAACGTTTGCTCGAAGAAGGACATGGAGCAGTGAAGCATGACAAGGGCAAATGTTATATAATTCATCCGGATAACGCTGTGATCCGCGGTATCGCCTGGCAATGCTCAGGGACACCGCCGCAAACTTTTCTCCGCCCATCAGCGGTGGTGGTAGCAAACAAGTGGGGAGACCCAAACTTCAAATCACACGGAATGGTTCAGGATTCAAAAATGTTCCTGCAACATATGCTCCCCCCCGAAGAGTGCAGTATATTGTTGCGCGTAGTACGCAAAGTGTTCACACAAACAATGCAACAGGATGTTGCGCGCACAATGGGGAATGAAAAAATACGCGCACATAGTAAGATTCCTAAGGTTTCAACTCGAAACACAACACGGCAATACTGGAGGTTCCGGTGTTCTCAAAAAACCATTGGATCAGACTCACGCCTTAACGAAATTGAGGACATCAATCCATCAATCTACTGTAGGATAATTAAAGATGCTGTTCCAGCAAGAGTACTGCGCGGAAGTGAGTTCGAACCCTATGAACGCAACAAGAAAACAAATTCACAAATGAGATAGATCCAAAATACATTTCATCAAAAAATTCTCGAAATGAATTCTTGGCGCAGCGACGAAAGAGGTTGATTCCATCCACTCGCCTTCTGTGGCACTGAGTCGATGAAATGATGCGACTCAAACGGCCAGCTGGCTAAGATGGGTCTGGCTGTGGGCCCAATCATTTCAGCATCATGCAAATTGCCCACAATACTCCTAAGAAATATCACACACTTGGCTGATTCCGGGCTGCACGCGCGCACGCACAAGATTTTACACGAGGCCTCATTTAAGTCTCAATTGGTGCCGTGGGATGCGCTGGAGGGTTCAGGTGGCGCACACCCCAGGAGGAGGAGGAGGAGGAGGAGGAGCAGTAGTAGTAGTAGTAGTACTCGCACTACTAGAAATACTACCAGAAATACTACTGGCATTAGCAGTACTAGTAGTACTAGTAGTACTAGTAGTACTAGTAGTACTATTCGTAGTCGTAGTCGTGGTCGTAGCCGTAGTAGCAGTAGCAGTAGTAGTAGTAGTAGTAGTAGTAATAGTAGCAGCGGGAGTAGTAATACTAGTAGTAAAAGTCGTAGTAGCAGTAGTAGTAGTAGTAGCAGCAGCAGCAGTAGCAGTAGCAGTAGCAGTAGCAGTAGCAGTAGCAGTAGCAGCAGCAGCAGCAGTAGCAGATTAGTAGTAGTAGTAGTAGTAGTAGTAGCAGCAGCAGCAGCAGGAGTAGTAGTAGTAGTAGTAGTACTAGTAGTAGTCTAGTAGCAATAGTAGCAAGAGTAAAGCAGTAGTAGGAGTAGTAGGAGTAGTAGTAGTAGTAGTATTGGTACTAGAAGCAGTAGTGGCAGTAGCAGTAGCAGTAGCAATAGCAGTAGCAATAGCAGTAGCAATAGCAGTAGCA